AATAAGAGGTTCCGCCTTAAGGAGGCAACAGCAGATTCAGCATTTCCCCTAAACCAGTACCGGTCCCATCCTACCCGCTACCACCTCTCTGGTGTCCCAGGCCATGCTCCTTTAGCAAAGCCTGTCCAACACCCCAGGTGCTGAGTGCCACCCTGCCCCCGGCAGACCCTCATAGCACATATGCATTTCTCCATTATGAGTAGGTAGCAGACTTGCATTAGCCACCAAACTATTTGAAGGGTCGTATCACAGTTCTTTCATTTCCACACGCTTAGCATCTAGAAAAGGACTCTCAACTTTCTTTTAGATGGGTAAATTAATCATTGAATTCAAGTTAATGCAAGGCTAACTTATGCTCAGAAAGTTCTAATTTAAACTGGGGTCACAGCCCTTCCAAAGTGGGGGGCCAATATCTTGAGGTCTGATCCTTTCTCTTGTTGAGGCAGGGGGAGGGTGTGAGAAGGGGGAAAACTGGAGCAAAGATGACAGAGCTTTTTTCCTGACATCAACTCAAAGGGAGAGGATGGGAGTTACTGTACAGACTCTCAAAAGGGGGGACAACAGACCCCTATCACTCACAAACTCCTCACAGATTACCAACTGCAAAGCAACCTGCTACAACAGGAGGATTCCTTTTGAAGAGGTCATGCCAAAATCTGGTCATGAGGCTTTTCCATGTGAAGGGAGCAAAGGGGGTATCTGGGGATTGTCCACGAGAATCTGGGGATGGCTCCAACCGCACAAACAGCTGTGGGCCACAGAATGCTTGCTCAGCTCGTTAGCACCTGCTGCTTACAGTGACCATTCATCCAACAGACTGGCTGTGAACGAGATGATGGGATCAGCGGGTTCATGCCCCAGAGAGCTTTGCTCATCATTAACATGAGCTAAGTCCTGTTCAGGAACCATTCCTCTTGTTGAAGAAACACTGCAGTGTAATATGATAAACATTTCCCCATCACGAGTGGAGATTTGCCTAGAAAGATCGGCACAAAGGTGGCTGCATTTTGCATGAGTCATGTGCTGGGGAGGGGTAGGCAGCACTGAAAACTAGTCCCACTTGAGCCTTCAAGTCATCGTGGCGTATCTGCCTGCTTCACTATAAATCTCAAAGGCCTCTGACGTCTGCCTTTTCGTGGTTTAAATCCTTCCTTCTTCTCAAGGGTGGAATTACCTGTTTATAATGCCAGTGATTACTACGCACCTTGGAATTGGGTAGAGAGCAAGCACGAGTTTAAACATCTAGTTTGGAGGGAATTTCCCCTACCCTCAAAGTCAAATTCTGTTCCCCCCTGCTACCCAAAATCATGCACCTCAGCCCCTGGAAAGTTGGGAATGGCAGCCAGAGGAAAGCAAGTCGCATCACTTTGGCCAATGTGAGAGGGGAGCCTAGCCCTGGAAATTCCACACAAACTCAGAAAGAGAACAGTACGTCCCCCACCTCCCACACGTCCACCTCTTCTGTTCTCCTGAACAAGCACAAACAAGACACGGCAGTTTAGTACGCTGCTTCTGAAAGCGTGAGTAATGGGCTTCTAGGAAAGAGGCCAGTGGTGGCTAAGGAGAGCTCACGAGGTTGTACTGACAGAACCAAAGGATGGAGGCAGCCATGTGCTTGCCTTGATCTGCATTTAATGGGGCTATGACTTTAAAAGGAAACAGCCAGCACCCTGATCCTATTCCCCCTTTTAAAAAGGCACAGTGGAAGTCCTTACCTATACTCACCAACAGCCTGCTGGATAACCAAAGCTGCCAGTGTTACCTTAGGAACCCTTCTGGGAATCTACTCCCTCTCCCTCTGTCCTTTGTCTGCAAACTCCTCTCCTCCAGGAAAATTCCTGGGCCTCTTTCCTTCAGACTTCTTCCTCGGCAAAACTGAAAGAATTCTGCTTCTCTTTCAAAGCTGCTCTTCTGGTCTCACACTCTAACCTTAACAACTGTAGAGAAGCTCACAGAACCTGTTCCCATAAAACAAACACAATCAATCCCTCCCAGTTACTGGTATAACTCGGTATATTTTCATCCAAAGATTCCTTCTGGCGCCTGATCTGAAGAGGGAGGCAGCCTGGAAAGAACCTTGGACTTGCTATCAGGAGAGCTGCCACTTACTGGCTGTGAAACCATGGGCAGGTTACTTTGTTTCTCTGAATCTCCTTTTCCTCAATTTCTAAACTAAAAATTTATTCTCCTTACCTATAATAGTCTCATGGAGGATGAAGTGTCTGATATAAAGTGTGTGAGTACATGCAGTGCCGTCTCCGAGGTCTACACTGTGTCTGCCTCTTTTCCGCATGGGGCCTTAGTACTTTTTTTCCCCCTTTAATGTTACTTCTCAGGCCTCTGAGTGTTTCCTTCCCTTCACAACATCTCCCCAGAATGCAGCCTTCCCCTTTTCCCTCACAGTCAACCCACAGCACATCCCCTCTAACCAGTCCCCCTGCGCTCCCCTCCTCCACCACCACATCCTGGGCCACAGTTCTCTCACCTCAGGAATCTCTTCTATTACTAAGGCTCTGTACCCTAAACACAAATGCTTTCTAAAAACTCTCGAAGGCCCTCTCTGGAAGCTGAAAGGAGACAAACTGCTCCCTAGTCTGTCCTGCCGCGTGCCATGATGCCTGCTGCCCTCTGACGAAACCATAGTTTGTATGGTGTTACATCATCTCTATAGAAACTGCGTTCTTTCTCCATTATTAGCCTGTTTCCTCATCTGTAAAGCTAAAAATACTTACCTCACAGGCTTGTTGTGAGGATTATTTTAGTCAGGTATGCAAAGGGCACACCATAGGGCTTGGCTTGCTCTAAGTACCCAACAAAAGGCAGCTATTATCTTTGTCTTTGTATTGAGTTGCACGTTTCTATCCCACCTTCTGCTGTGGCAGGAAATTCTCCCAACCCTCCCAAAACTGTGGAGAAGGAGCTGCCCCCCCCCCCGCCGCAGCAAGGAAAGGGTTAATCTCTAAGTGTTCTTAACTAGAGAGACCCATAGAGGATTAACAGCTCCACTTCAGTGACTACCTTAAAATAGCTTTTATCCCTCCAGCCCAAGAGCTACTTGGGGATCTGAAGAACTCAATTCAACACCTGCCGAGGAGGAAACACACCCGGGAACACACCCTGGAACGTTCCTTAGGGTGGACAGAATCTTCCCTTAAGCAGAACCCAAAATAGCAACTAGGAAATTATAAATAGACAGAGAAAAAAGAAAAAAAAAACAAAGAACCCAGGTCTTGATCTGAGCACCAGAAACAAATCCAAATGACACACTGACTGGCTGGAAAACAGTGAGAAGGAAAGGGGGGAATGGGAAGAGCTGCCCCCCTCCCTCCCTCCCGCACACACACTCCAGAGTGGTGGGAGAATTAAATTACAGGGAGGCCAGAGAGTTTCAATGACTTGCATCATTCCAAGAGACATCAAACAGGATTAACAGGGGTTGGATTTACTCTCGGGCTGCTAGTTCTTCTGTCACTGTAGATGGGCCCTCTTTGCAGTCCCTTTGATTCACTCTTTCCTCCCATTCCCGCTGCCTCTCACTCCTGAGGAGGCCTTGAGCAAATGGCTGCAACTCACTACAGCCCCATTTTCATTATGACGAAACCTGGTTGGACACCCCCAAGGATTCCCCCCCCAACAATGGAGTGGCCTCATTGTGGGGGGCAGGGTTAGAAATCCAAGGCCAGACTATCACAGTCCCAAACTAACAGGTGGAAAAGCATACAAGCGAGGAGACAGGCTACTCTTGCAGGTGAAAGCACCAACAACCCCCCCCACACACACACACTAGTTGTTCCCATATCTTCCACCTTATAGGTCCCTTTCCCCCACCAAGCTGGAGCGGGAGCCTGGGACTGGATTTACAGGGAATAACCAGGCTCCTCGGGCAGCTTCTAGACCACTCCACTGTGTGGTGGGAGAAGTTCAATTCCCCTGGAGCTGGAAGAGACAGGAGTGGACGCCTGCCAGAGAAGGGACAGAAATTCAGGGAGAAGTCCGGAGGAGGTCTCAGGGATGGGAAGGAAGGGAAAGTATGATAAAAAATCATTAGCAAGTTAACTGAGTCGCTAAGGGACCGGCCCCTTCCCTCCCCCCCCCCAAAAGAAAGATGGGGGATTATACGGGCTGGAGGATTCCAGGGGTTGAAGATAGTCAGAAGTGAATTCTCTGAATTTCAATGGTCTCAAAAGGGTAACCAGATGGATGATATCTAAGGTTTGGGAGTATGGTCACCGAGGAGAGAATTATAGGTAGAGCTTACTGGGGTTCTCCAGAACCAGATATTTGACGGAAGCCTCAAAATGGATTATGTGATTCTGGAAAACGAAACAGAGAATAAAAAACGGAGTATTTGGAGCAGGAAAGGGGGTTATGTGGGTCCGGGTAGGCGTGTCTGAGGGGAGGGAGCAGGTGCAGCTTATCTGCGTCCCCCAGACCCGGGTCCCTGGTAAGGTCAGCAGCGCGTTATCTGGGTCTCCAGGGAACCCAGGGGTCAAGAGTAAGGGACCCTCAGGGCTGAGTCTCCAGGTCTCGGTAGGGAGGGGACCAGTGGGGTTTCTTCCGGTCCCCCGACCCAGGTATCGGGTCCGCGGAGAGATTTCGTCACCCTGGGGCCTATCGGGGCCCGAACTGGCGTGGAGGGGGCCCCCGGTTGGGGGTGTGGGCGACCGCGCCGTGGGGCCCGAGATGAGAGGCGCCGCCGCTCCGGGTGCCGGGCGCGCGGGCGCAGCGAGACGGCCTCCCGCCCCGCTCCCCGCCGTCCCCCGGGGCCCTCGCCGGCACTCACCGCGCTCGGGGCCCCGCGCTGCGGGCCGGGCCGCGCTCGGGCTCCGCCAGGCCCGTTCAGGCCCCGGTAGTGGCGGCGGTCGGGCCATTGTGCGGTGCATTGTGGGAGCCGCGCGAGCGGGCGCTCGGGCCGTGGAGGGGGCGGTGCCGCGGGCTCTCTATGGTCCCGCCCGCCTGCCGGCTAGAGCGGCCGGGGCGGCGCGCGGGCAGCGCGCGGGGACCGCCGGGAGCGGGGCGGACGCTCTCGTCCCTCCTCTCCCCGCCTCCGCACCGCGGCGCGCGCGGGCTCCTGAGCCGTCATGGGCGCCGCCGCGTGGGCATCGTCCCCGCTGCCGCTGCGTGTGTCTCTCTTGCTGCTGATTCTGCCGCTCCCGGGGCTGCCCGCGGGCTCCTGGGACCCGGCGGGTTACCTGCTCTACTGCCCATGCATGGGTAAGGCCTCCCGAGCCCTCTGCTCGAATGGGGAAACTGAGGCCCAGAGAGGAGAAGGCCCTCTTCTAAGGCGCCCAGAGATACCTTGACATGTCCAGGAGAGAACCACAGCGCGGGGCATGGCCTGCTCCTCGCCTTTCTGCCTCAGTTGCGACGGCCCCGAGGGGCCTCTGTGTCCAACCTTCCATTTGGCAGATGAGGAAACTGAGACCAGGAGAGGTTATGTGTCTTGTGCAAGGTCTAAGCCAGCCCAGAGTTCAGTAAATGGAGTTAGCGGGGCAGGACTTGATGTCACTGACTCAACGTTGGCTCTGGACGATTCTTTCATCGTTCAACAAATATTTATAGGACCCCTACTCTGTGCCCGGAACTGTTTTCTGTTCTGGGGATACAGCAGTGGTAAGACAGAAAATGCCATGCCTTTGTAGAACCTTCATTTTAGCTAGGAAAGACAGACAATAAAAGATACAATAGACGATACGGACAATAAAAAATAAAAAAATGAGTAATTATACATAGTATCTTAGAAGAGGATGAACACTATGGGAAAATAAAATAGAGAAGAGTAATGGAGAATCTAAAAGCTGCAATTTAAATGGGATGGTGGATTGTCACTGTAAAAGTCATTCCTTCTTAAAACCCTCCAGACTCCAGACCCTGATGATTTGGCCCTCTGCCCATCATTACTACCACTCCGTTCTCCCCAGATCCTCCAGCTGTAGCCACTCTTATTCCCTCTCTGTTCCTCACACATTTTCAGGTTCTGAAACCTGTGCTATTCCCTCTGACTGGAAAACCTTCCTCTTCACTTCTGCCAGGTCAACTCCTTCCCATTCTTAGGTCTCAGCTTAAATGTCACCAGAAAGGGCTTTGCTGACCTCAACACAAATAATCTCCACCTTACTGTTCTCTATCACCAAGCTTTTTCCATTTCTTCCTTGAAATGATCAGAATTTACCACTATATACTTGTCTCTCTAACTGGATTGTGAGTGCCTCGAAGGCAGAGACCTTATCTTTCTTGCTGAATCCTGTATTCCAGCACCAAACAGAGAGCCTGGCACATTGTGGCCTCTCAGTATTTGTGGAATGAATGAATGGATGTCATGCTGGGGCTAACGAAAAGAATCAGACAGGGTCCTTGCTCCTGAGGTATTCACAGGCTGAAGAAACAGCCAGTACAAAGGCCAGGAAGTGGGAAAGGACATTTGAGGAAAAGCAAAGAACCATAAATAGTTCCAATCCAAGGTGGGAGGCAGAGGGGGGGATTGAGTATAGCAGGGGGTTGATGAAAGGATTCCAGTGAATGAGGTGCTGGAGTTGCCCCTTCATGCACAGATGAATGGAGATAGAGGTGGAAGGGCACCCTTGGATGAAAAAACAACAGGAGCAAAGCCATGGGGTCAGGATGGGAGGTGGAGAGCATATTTGGGAAATGGCAAGGAACCTAGAGCGGCTGAGGCAGAAGGGTAGGACTTGAGGGCCTTGAGTGTTAAACCCATGAGTCCAGACTTGATCCTATGCTGCCAGCTCCCCTGGCTCTCCTTGGTGTCCTGGCCCTTCCCACCCCTGGCCCTGCATCCTTTCCAAATCCTGCATGCCCCATGCCCTCGTGTCCCAGGCCTCACCTCAAACACCATATACCATCCAGGGCGCTTCGGGAACCAGGCTGATCACTTCTTGGGCTCCCTGGCTTTTGCAAAGCTGTTGAACCGCACCTTGGCTGTACCCCCTTGGATTGAGTACCAGCATCACAGGCCTCCCTTCACCAATGTGAGTACCTCCCCTTATCCATCCTACCCCAGTCCTGCTTACCTCCTCTTGACACCCAGTCCTTCTCTGGGCTTTACCTCCTGCTCCTCTGAGCCTTCCCCAGTCCCCACCCCAAACTGTCTTGCCTGGCTAACTGAAGGCACTTACCCAGTGCCTTCTGTCTGCCAGGCACTGTTCTGAGCACTGCATGAGGACTAGCTCTTTTCTCCCTCATCACATTCCTATGAGGAAATGGGCTTCAAGAGGTTAGGTAACTTGTTCAAGGTCATACAGCTTGTGAATAGTAGAGCTGGTACTCAAGCCCATGTCTGTCTGACTCCAGAGCCTATGATCTGAACCTAAAGCTCCATTTCCACCCCTGGTTGGTCCCACCCTCTGCTTATCCCATTAGTCAAAGGGTGATGGATGCTATTGTCAGTTTGAAGGAGAAACTGAGGCACGGGTTAGTTAATATTGTGTTCAGGGCCACAAACCCAGGCAGTCTGGCTCCAGAGCTGTCTCGCCCCATCATGGTGATACTCAACATCCTCTAATTCCTTGCCTTTTCTTTGTGTCTTCCACTGATCCTATGTCTGTCTTTGTTCACACTGGATCCCCAGGGGCCTGGCAGTAGGAACTGAATTAATCTAATGAATTGACTCTAAAAGTTTTTAATAAACTTTAAAAAATTATATTTGTATGTACAAAAATGTATATCATTCTTACAGCCTTTTCTCTCTGTAGGTTTTTTTTATTATTATTATTTTGTATGCCTAGATTAAGAGAGGTTTTTTATCAGTTAGAGGTTAAAAGCCAGAGGACCTGGGGCACCTGGGTGGCGCATTTGGTTAAGCATCTGCCTTCAGCTCAGGTCATGATCCCAGGGTCCTGGGATCGAGTCCCGCGTTGGGCTCCCTGCTCCGCGGGGGCCTGCTTCTCCCTCTCCCTCTGCCTGCCTGCCGCTCCCCCTGCTTGTGCACGCTCTCTCTCTCCCCCTCTCTGTGTCAAATAAATAAATAAAATCTTAAAAAAAAAAAAAAGCCAACAGACCTGAGATCGTAGTTTGGCTTTACTACTTAACTAGCCGTGTAGCCTGGACAGAGTACTTGATTTCTTCGTGCCTCAGTTTTCTCATCTTTAAAAGAGGCCAGTAGTAACAGTGACTACCTCTCATAATGAGTTAGTGATTGTAGCATGCCTTGAATATTGTATGCCTCTCTCTTAGAATCAGTAGTTCATCAATGAAAAGTGCTTAGGACATAGGAAGTCCTCAGTACCTGGGAGCCACTGATGTGCTGATTTTTTGCACTCACTGTTATAGTTTAGACATTGTCTGTTTGTCTCCTTCTGCCTTGTTTTCTTTCTCTCGCCTTGCCTTCTCAGCCAAGAATCTTTTGAGTCTCTACTTCTTTCTGTGGGTTACTCAACCCATCCCATTAGGCTCCCCTTCCCCACTGGGACTGTTCTCACAGAGGCCACCAGGGACCTCAGAATTGCCAGATCTAGGGGTCATTTCTTAGTCTTCCATCTATCCTTCTGGGTGGCACCTGGAACCGTGAGCCTCTCATCCCTCTTCCCCTGTCTTCTAAGACATAGTCTGTTCCTGCTTTAGCCTGACTTCTCACCATTTTTCTCTTTGTGCTGTATGGGGGGCTTCTCTCTCTCCACTCACTGTTTAAATGTTGGTGTGCCTTGGGGCGCCTGGGTGGCTCAGTCAGTTAAGTGTTCAACTCTTGATTTCGGCTCAGATCATGATCTCATGGTTGTGAGATTGAGCCCCGAGTTGGGCTCTGTGCTAGGCGTGGAGCCTGCTTAAGAGTCTCTCTCTTGGAGCACCTGGGTGGCTCTGCCTTTGGCTCAGGTCCTGATCCCAGAGTCCTGGGATTGAGCCCCGTGTCAGACTTCCTGCTTAGCGGGGAGCTTGCTTCTCCCTCTCCCTCTGCCTATTCCTCCCCCTGCTTGTGCACGCTCGCTCTCTCTCTCTCAAATAAAAAAAAAAAAAAAGATTCTTTCTCTCTCTCCCTCTGCCCCTCCCACTACCCCCACCCTCTGCTGTGCATGCGCGCTCTCTCTCTCTCAAAAAAGTAAAATAAAATAAAAATAAAAAATAAATGTTGGTGTGTCTCCTCTTTCTGTTATTAGCTATGTGACCTCAGATGAGTTATCAGGAGTCTGTTTGCCTGGGTTTCTTCATAAGTAAACTGGAGATGGTTGTATTTCTACCTCTTAGAATTAGATGAGCAAGTCCGTGAAATGTGATGAGTACAGCACCTGGCACTAAGTCAGCACTCAATGAATATTAGTTGCTATTATTACCATCATTTGCTTTACTATAAATTTCTGTTGAGTATTGTGGCTTTCACTATTCTCCACATACCTCCCAATCTTTTCTGTGGCCCAGACTCTCCTCTGATCATAAGCCTGTGTTTCTTTCTAATTTCTAAGCCCTTGAGTCTACTTGGATGTCCCACAGATACCTCAGATTCAGAAAGACAGAGCTGAACTTGGCATCTTTCCCTCTCAAACCTGTGTCACTTCCTATATTCCCAGCCTTAGTTTATGTTACCTCCATTCACCTGCATACCAAGCCCGGAACCTAGAAGTCATCCTAAATGCCTCCTTTTACCCTCTACTCCACCTTCCTTTACCTCTGCTAAGCTGTCCATGCCTTCCATCTTCACTTGGACTTAATGCTCAAAAATACATGTTGAGTGAGTACTTGAACAAATAGAAGGACCATTGTAGTAACCTCCTTATTCCTCTTCCTACCCTAATCTTGCCGTCCATATGTTCTCTCCTTTGCCACCAGAGTGATCTTTCTTAAAAGGCAAATCTCTTTTTACTTCTGTTTGAAATCCTTCAGCAAGGGGCACCTGAGTGGCACAGTCGGTTAAGCATCCGACTCTTGGTTTCAGCTCAAGTTGTGATCTCAGGATTGTGAGACTGAGCCCCGTGTAAGGCTCTGTGCTCAGCTTGGAGTCTGCCTGAGATTCTCCCTCTGCCCCTCCCACTCATGTTTTCTCTCTCTCTCTCTCTAAAAAGTAAATAAATAAATCTGGGACTCCTGGGTGGCTCAGTCATTGAGCATCTGCCTTCGGCTCAGGTCATGATCTCAGGATCCTGTGATCGAGTCCCGCATTGCTTCTCCCTCTCCCACTCCCCCTGCTTGTGTTTCCTCTCTTGCTGTCTCTCTCTCTGTCAAATAAATAAATACAGTCTTTCAAAAGTAAATAAATAAATCTTCACAAAAATAAAATCCTTCAGCAAGACCTTGTTGCTAATAGTTAAATATCCCAAATTCTGTTTGTTGAAATGCCAATGGCTCATGAAGGAAATCAGTTTGGGAAATTATATTCTCAATTCCCCACGCTCCAAAATTGGAGATTCAAAATACACATTAGCATACTGAGAAGTTCTATAGTAAAGAAATCAGCTTAACGCAGCATTTCTCAGGTCTTTAACTCTGGAGCCTTTTCATTGCAGATTATCCCCATGAACTAGTGGAACATGCTTGGGAACCCTGACCTATAGGATAAAGTCTAAATTTTTGTTCCTTGGTGTTCTAAGAAATTTTTTTAAAATCTAGAAAACTACAGAGATTAATATAATCACCGTCCACGTACCCACCTCTAGAAGTGATCATTATTTAACATTTTCTCTTTGCTTCATCTGTCTTTTTTAAATAAAAGAAATAAAATATTACAGATGAAGTTGTTGAAAGATAAAGTCTCACGTGGCCCCCAAGGCTAGTCTCACTCACTCCTCCCGGCCCCAGAGGCAGCCACTGTTGTGAACGTAATGTCTTCTCCTTCTGAGGTCTCTCTTGTACTTCTGCTGTGGCACTGAGCATACCTGAACCCATCTCCCATGCAAAGTGGAAGAGCTTCTCTAGGGAAAATACAGAGAGGTGGAAGGAGCATTTTAAATTCTAGTAGATGCTGCAATATTACATTCTAAAGTGGTTGTTCCAGAATGTACATTTCGACTACCAGCCACATACAGCAGCCCCTATTTCCCCACTTCCCTTCCAACAATTAAAGTTAAGCTTTTAAATCTTTGCTGGTCTAATAAGTGAGAAGTGCCTTGTAACTGTGACTTGCTTTTTTCTAGTTACTTGTGAGTTTGTACATCTTTTGAATGTATTGGCTATGTGGGTTTTCTTTGCTGTGAGTTGTTCACTTCTGTCCTTTGCTCACATTTTCCCTTACATCATTTGTCTTTTTTCATCTAGATCAGCAAGCACTTCTGAATACAAAAGATGTTACTGTTTCTTCGTTAGTTTGCAAATAAATTCTCCCAGTCTTTTTCTCTTCTAGCTTTGGTGTCCTTTTCCAAAAGTTTTTCATTGGCTTATAGTCTGAGCTGTCTGGGTCTTGGAGTGTATGGTTTTAATGAATGTCTTATTAAAAGAGCCACTAGGATACTGAGGAGGGATCTCTGCCTCTCCTTCTGCACCTTTTCCTGTATGTAGCTCCATGTGTCCTACCAGAAGTACTTCAAGCTGGAGCCCCTCCAGGCCTACCATCGAGTTATCAGCCTGGAGAACTTCATGGAAAAGCTGGCACCCACTCACTGGCCCCCCGAGAGGCGGGTAGCATACTGCTTTGAGGTGGCAGCCCAGCGAAGCCCTGATAAGAAGACGTGCCCCATGAAGGTGGGTCTGGGGGACCCTTTCTGCCTGTTCCATGTCCTCTAGGCCCCTGAGACACTGTGACAGCAATATGTGGGGAAAGGCACTAGAAGGGTTCGCATAGAAAGAGGAGATTTAAGTCCTATTTCTGACTTCTGTCAGCAGTGTCACTTTGGGCAGAGGACCTTGATTCCTCTGAGCCTTTATTTCTACCTGAAAAAGAAAGACACCAATCCCTGCTCTGTCTCACTCAATAATGTCACGAGGGCCAGGTGCAAGAGTGCTTATAAACTGTAAAGTGCCACATGAGTAATAATAACTAATTTTTTTTTTTCACACCGGGGGAGAGAGTGGGGGGAGAGGCAGAGGGAAAGGGAAAGGAGAGGGAATCTTAAGCAGGCTCCACTAGCCTGATGACTGGGGGCTCAATCTCACAACCCTGAGATCATGACCTGAGCTGAAATTGAGTCAGACGCTTAGCCAACTGAGCCACCCAGGTGCCCCAAATAATAACTAATACTTCTATGGCGCTTACTACAAGCCAGGTACCATAAGAGCTTTACACATATTAACCCACTTAATCTTCCAGCTGCTCCATGAGGGAAGTACTATTAATATCCCCATTTTATAGAGAGGACACTGAGTGCAACACAGAGTTTCAATATTTTGCCCAAGGTCACATAGCAAATAAGCTGGGATTCAACTCTAGGTAATTTGGCTCCATTATCCACCATCTTATCTTGTATACATTCCTGGCTTTCAGCAGGTAAATAAGAAACAGTCATATTTCATCAGGAGAAATTTGTAATTTTCTGGCACTTTGGGAATAAGACAATCCCCTGTATGTCTTTCAGTGCTTATGCTAAAGTTTAGGGAGGGTAGTTGAAAGAGCCATGAAATTTGAGAAAGGAGGCTTGGCTTATAGCCACGACACTGCCCTTACTTCCTATGTGACCTTGGACAAGGGTCTTACCCTGTCTGGGCCCTGGTTTGCATCTTGAAAATAAAGGCATTGTGTTAGCTGGTCTCTGAAAGTCTCTGAAAGCTCTAGTCCAAGATCTAAAGCCCAAATTCAAAATCCACTTCCTTCCTCTACCCCCACTAGTGCTGCAGGGTCAGTGGGATGTGGCATGTTAGTGGGTAAGACTCCTTTGGACACTATGGTGAACATCTGCTGGAAACCAGACTGGAGGCCGAGTTGCTCTCCTCAGTCCCCAGCTCAGGATTTACAAAGTGACGTTCCTATTGGCCATCCTATAAGGGGTTTCAACCTAAGTCTAGTCTACTAGGGTTCCCCCACCCACAGTTCCTTGGCCCCATACCCAGAGGGCTTTCCCTCCTCAGTAAGTCTTTGATCTCTCTCTTTCTGCAGGAAGGAAATCCCTTTGGCCCATTTTGGGATCAGTTTCATGTGAGTTTCAACAAGTCTGAACTTTTTTCAGGCATTTCCTTCAGTGCCTCCTACAAAGACCAGTGGATCCAGAGGTAACTTGGAGGGGGCAGCGTTGCTGGGTTTAGGGGAGGGGCATGGGGCCCCTGAGAATGCAGCACCTTCCTGACCCCCTCTCCCCCCCGCCCCGTACCACACCCTGATGTTTGAGACCAAAGGTGCGGCCATTCTATCTGTTGAACTTGGGATCCTGTGTGATCTGTTCCCATCTCAACGCCTGACACGGTGGGACATTGACCTGCCACAAGGTTGAGCAAGAGTTTATTGGCCGATAAAGGATGTCATAAAAACAGTATTGTGCAGTCACATGGGTCTTGATTTCCTCCTCTGGGCGTGAGAATCACTCCCCTGTTACCTTCCTCTTCACAAGGTGAGAATTGGAAGCAGCTTCTAGAGAAAAGCAACTTAAGGTGCAGACTGAGAAATGATGTCATCCTGATAATAATTGGATGTGCTTTATTAATTGCACTCCAGTAGGCCCTATTAAAAAAAATAGGTTAGCAGGGCACAGGCACAGGCTGTGAAATATTTATAGGGCGTCTGTCACGTATGAGACATACTGCTCAAAGGCCAGAGGTGATATATAAAAATGAGGAAGATCCAGCCTCAGCCTTCAGGGAGCCACATACTAGTTATAATGATGCTAACAGAGTGCACTTGCCTTGATGCTATAGCATGGCAAGAAGGAACGTGAGCTTAAAAGTCAACTTGGGTTCAGGGCTGTGAGGAACATGTGAATTCATACATGGTCATATCCCTCGGCATTCTGTAGACCAAGGATGGACTGATGTAGAGAAAGGAGTCCGCACTCAGAATCAGACAGACCTGGCCTTGGACTCAGCCCTGCCTCTTTCTCAGGAGACCCTGAGCAGTCTCTCCAGCTATCTGGCCTGAATATCCTCGTGGTTGAATGGAAGGAGCCCTGTGGCATCTGCCTCCTAGGGCATAGAGCACATGGTTCATAGTAGGGGGCCAACCAGTATTAGCTGTTAATATTATTATTCACATGCTTTATTTCATATAAAGAGAAACTTTGGGAAACTCTATGAAGTGGGTTTTATGATTGATTTTCATTTGGCAGATAAGGAAACAGCTCAGTGAAGTAAGATAACTTGCCCAGGGTAACCCAGCTGTTGAGAGGGCAGCTGCAGGCCGAATGTAACTCTTTAATACATAATAAAGCTGCTATTTATTTAGTGCCTACTATGTACCAAACACCGTTCTAAGTTTTCATTTCACTACCTAAGTCTTCTAAGGTGGTAACTCATTGGATCCTTCCACAAGTCTGTGCGACAGGAGTTACTGTCTTCTGTGCTTTACACATAGGGAAATTGAAGCAAAGAGGAGTGAAGTCTCTTGCCCAAGGTCACACAGCTTGAAGTGGCAAAGCTGGATTTGAACCCAGGCAGTCTGATTCCAGAGCACCCATTCTTCTTTTTTTTTAAAGAAGATTTTATTTATTTATTTGACAAAGAGAGACACAGCGAGAGAGGGAACACAAGCAGGCTGAGTGGGAGAGGGAGAAGCAGGCTTCCCGCCGAGCAGGGAGCCCGATGCGGGGCTCGATCCCAGGATCCTGGGATCATGACCTGAGCCAAAGGCAGACGCTTAACAACTGAGCCACCCAGGCGCCCCCAGAGCACCCATTCTTAATCACCATGGAGAATAGCTGTGCCTGTAACAGCTGCCAATTCCCATTTGGGATTTCTGAGCTAATTCAGGAGCTACTGAGGATACTCAGTCATGGCAGGTTTTACTCCTCCCTCATGGTTGATCTTGATAGGGTATTTCCATTTGATCACCTCCTTGTTTCTAGAAGATATAGTGCCACGAAGGACAGAAACAGGTGACGTGTGGTTGGAGGGCCGAGACCTTGTCTCAGCTCGGGCTGCTATAACAAAATAGCACAGCCTGGAGGCTAAAACAACACGCTTGTTTCTCATGGTTCTGGAGGCTGGGAAGTCCAAGATCAGGGTGCCAGCATGGTTGGGCTCCAGTGATCTTTGCTTGCTACCTTTTTGCTGTGTCCTCACGTGTTAGAGAGCAGGCTCACTTATGAGGCACTAATCTCATCATGGGGGCTCTATTCTTATGACCTCAACTAAACTTTATGGCCTCCCAAATGCCCTACCTCCTAATATCATCACACTGGGGGTTGAGACCTCAACTATGAATCAGAGAGGGTGGGGGAGGGGGCACAAACATTCAGGCCATGAGAGACCTGAAGGGAAGGAGCCATCCATGGAAAAAGCTTGAGGGAAAGGTAGTTCTTCATGGTGGGGACATGGAGCACAGAGGCTCTGAGGCAGGAACAGGCTTGGTGTGGTGGAGGGGCAGACAGCCAGTGTGGCTTCGTGGAGTGAGTGAGGAGGAGAATGGGGACTGTTCCATCATTTGTTACTGAATAATAAACCAGTTTTGGAATGGGTCCCCAGCAGTGGGTAATTATTTCTCAGATTCTGTGGGTTGACAGGGGTCAGCGAGGCAGTTCTGGTTTTTGGTTTTGCATCTTCTTTCTAGAATCCCAACTGTACAAAGTTTCAATCCATGTTAAACATCTAATTTCTTGCTATAAATATCCTTTAGAACCCACCACAGATTGGGTGGGAGATTTTTAAATTTTTAATAAAGAAGAGAATTACATTTGCTCATAATCCACCACCCCCTTCAAAAAACACTCTTAGCAGTTTGATGTATATACTTCCATCCTCCAGTACTTTTATACACACCTATATACCTACACAGATTAGCTTAAAATGAAACTACTGTGTGTCGTTTGTGATTGAGTATTACTCAACTGCCTTTTCTGAGGAGGAATTAATATCATTATTTACCAGGTTAGTAAATATTGCTAGCAGGATCAGTTCTAAACGTAAACAAACACGAGATTTAAAAAAAATGGTTACTGGGATATATATGTGTATTTGTGCCAATGGAGTGTGTGTGTGTGTGTGTGTTATTTAGTTATTTTGTAACCACGTTTTTAAGTGTACATTCAGTAGCATTAAGTACTGTGCCCTGTTGTATGCGCCACCACCACCGTCCATCTCCAGAACGTTTTCATCACCCCAGACAGAACCTCTGTACCCATTAAACAACTCCCCATTCTTCCACGCCCCCCGCCCTATCCCTTTATTCAACTTTTCTGTGTCTGAATTTGCCTATTCTAGGTCTCTTATAAGTAGAATGTTATATTAGTCTTTTTGTTTCTAGCTTATTTCACTTAGCATAATGTCTTCAGATCTCATCTGCGTTGTGGTATACATCAAAATTTTAGTCCTTTTTTTTTTTTTAAAGATTTTATTTATTTATTTAATTGATGGAGAGGAAGAGAGAGACACGGTGAGAGAGGGAACACAAGCAGGGAGAGTGGAAGAGGGAGAAGCAGGCTTTCTGCCAAGCAGGGAGCCTGATGCGGGGCTTGATCCCAGGACCCTGGGATCATGACCTGAGCCGAAGGCAGTCGCTTAACCAACTGAGCCACCCAGGCGCCCCAAAATTTTAGTCCTTTTAAGGCTGAATAGTTCATTATGTGCACGGACCACATTTTGTTTGTCTATTCATCTGTTGATGGACACTTGGGTTAGCCAGTCAGTTCTTGCTTTTGGTCTCATGTGGTTGAAGTCAGCTGTCAGCTGTCAGCTGCTGCTGGAGTCTGGAAGCCCGGCTGGCCTGCATGTCCAAGAGGGCTCGCTCACGGCTAGTGGGTAATGCATGCTGTCATCGGGGAGCTCAGCTGGGGCAGTTGGCTGGTGTGAGTACACAAGTCCTCCCCATGTGGCTTGGACTTCTGACGGCATATCAGCCAAGTTCTGAGAGGATACAACCAGGGAGTGAATGTTTCAAGAGATGGGAAATAGAAGCTGCTGGCTCCTAAAGCCTGGGCCTGGTGACTGGGACAGTGTCACTCCTGCTTCATGCCATTGGGAGGGGACACAGAGTCCACCTAACGAGAGAAGGTTTGAAGAATTAATCTGCCATACAGGTGAGGAGCTTGGAGAAGAAGTGGGCAGGGGTCAGACTGCACAGGGCTTTGTAGGCCCTGGCAAAGCAGGCTGATAAGCAGCCTGAGTGCTTTGTAGGAGTGAGCTGGAGAGTGTATATATTCTAAACATTTTCTAAAATAGTGGACACTTGCTTGCTGTAGAAAGTTGTCCTTTGGGGGCGGGGGTAGGGGTGTAGGGAGAATGGCATTGGAAAGGGTCAGGCTTTTCCCCGGCTCAGTGTGTGACGAAGTAGATTACTTCCCTTCTCTGGCCACCATTCCATCTATAAAATGAAGGGGGTGAGCAAGGTCTGTAGTTTCCATACTGTTCCTCAGAGTTCTTGAGAAGGGCCTCTAGTGCCATGAGGCTGGCAATGCAGGGCCAACCTGGAGGGGCTCAGGTCCCTCCTACCACCACCTTTAACCAGTAATCCTCTTGTATATCAACTAAAAGCTTGGATGGCCACAGGTCTAGGTATACCAGGCCTAATTTAAGCCACATGTTACAGAAAACCCCAAATAACAGCACATTAAGAAGATAGAAATGTATTGCTTTCTTCAGTAAGAGGAGTACTGAGGGATGCAACCCGCCACTCGATGGCAGCTCCATCATGCTGTCAGGACTCAGGCTGCCAACCCCGCCAGCCAGCCCAGTACCGGCTTTTATCCTCAGTGCCCCCTCACAGGGCTGATGAAGCTTTAGCCATTACAACCTTGCCCTAGGCAGCTGGAAGGAAAAAAGGGCAGAAGGGGGGGCACAGCCTCACCTTCTTAAGGAACCTTTCTAGAAGTCCCATATAGCCCTCTTGCATGTCGTTGGCTAGTTCTTAAACACATGGCCATACCTTAGCTGCAAGAAGTACAGAGAAATCTCTTTATTTGGGGCTGCCATGTGTCCAGCTAATTCAAGGAGAAGGGGTAAGAGGTATTTCTTCCCCACTAGGTGATTTCTGAGAATCCTTCTAGCTCTGCTGCTTCTGAGTCTGTGAATACCCTGGCAGAGGTTTAATTCAACAGATATTTATTGCACATCAAATGTTGAAAAACCATGGACCATCATGCTGAACCATTCTCGTGGCATGAAGGTAACAGGTATTTGGAACTCCTAGGAAATCCTGACTATCACCATCACCATCATTGTCCTATTGCATGAAACCCACTGCAACTTAGAAATTCAACTTTATGTTTTAGAGACTTGGCCACGTTGACCGTGTTAGCTTCTCTCAAAGTTTTCCATTTTGCACGAATAAGCACAGCAGCGCTGCAGTGGGCACGCCCCTTTCTTTACACCCAACCCAAACACCTCGGTCTGCAAACACCTCCCAACCCTCCAAGACCAGCTGCCACTCCCAAGCCTTGGCTCCCTGTCCCACTTCCCCTTTGCTGCCGTCTGCACACTGATGTGCTTGACAGCCATCTCCCCTGCTGCAGCGTCAGCCCACGAGGGTAGGGGCCTGGGCGATTCTGCTCCCCACAGTTCCCATGCACACTGGCCCAGGGCTTGTGTCACAGAAGCAACAAGCAAGTGTTCGCTGACATCCTGACTCTACATGACATTTGTTTCATTATAATCTTATATGTACATGTATGTGAATCACTGATCGAGCCTTATTATGTGACAGGCAACGTTCTACTTGCTTTATGTGTATGAACTCATTTGGTTCTCACAAGAGCCCTGTGAGGTAAGCGCTATTGTTATTCTCCTTTTACAGATGAGGAAATCGAGGCACAGAAAGCTTAAGTAACACGCCCATGGTCATGCAACCAGGAATTGGTGGAGCTAGGATTTGAATCCAAGGCAGTCTGCTCCAGAACCTGGTGTTCTTAACTATGCACCTCACTCCCAGCTCCCCCACTGCCATCAGTGAGACCCTCAAAAGCAGAGTCTGTGTCCTCTGTTTCTGATCTGTAGTCCCTAGCACCGGCCTCAACGTACAATGGGTACATCAGTATTTTTAGAATGAATGATTGAAGCAATGAGGATTCAGGGGTCTTACCAGAAAGACCAGGCCAGGTTGTCAGGGGTTAGAGGAAGAAGAAGCGCATATGAGCTGAACACCTACTACTATCCGGCCCTCAGCCAAACTCCTTTCTGATGTCACCTCCAAAGATTTCAAAAGTAGAAAGTTAGAGTTTGTGATCTCCCAGGCAGTGGAACACTAGGAGAAATCAGGAACTGTGCGCTCTCTGACCTCTTGGAGAGAATCTGCAGCGACCCTTGGTGAATTCTAGATTTGGAATGTCCATCCCCTCTCCCTAGATCTGGATTCGGCACATGGCTGCCCCACTGGAACATCAGCCATCATGACCTGATGAGCATCAAGAGGCCCAGACTGATGTGCTCATTTACTCCCAATGAGAGAGGAGAGTATTGTTTGCAAGGAAAGGGAGTGCTAAGGGTGTTGTTTGGAAACAAAGCTTGACCAGCTCCATCTGCCCCTGGGTGCCCTAGGTCTGGCCCTTAGCCTGGTCACTGTCCAGCTGAAAAAGGCATATTCTCTTGCTGCTGGGTGCAGTGAACCTCTGGGGTTCTTCCCCACCACCCCTCCACTACTGAGATTCCTCCACCCATCTGGAGTTTCTTTATGCACAGCATCCACTGATGCGCCCGGAGTACATATGTGGGACACTGGATGAACACCATACTGAGTGCAAAGGATGCAGGGACATGAAGGAGGCAGGGCCTTGCTCTCAACGTCCCTGTCAGGAAGAACTACCTTTCTCTCCCACTCTTCGCAGGGATGGCTCCTCATCCTTCGGGTCTCAGTCTGGTCCCAGCCCTGCCAATTACATGTCACCTGTTTACGGCCTCTGAGGAAGGCTGCAGCCTGGGAGCACACTAACAGTAAGGGCTGACGGTGGAGCAGGGGAGACGGCTGTCGAGCATGTCAGTGTGCAGACGGCAGCAAAGGAGAAGTGGGACAGGGGGACCTCCGTAGGAGCCGAGGCTTGGGAGTGGCAGCTGGTCTTGGAGGATTGGGAGGTGTTTGCAGACCGAGGTGTTTGGGTTGGGTGTGAAGAAAGGGCATGCCCACTGCAGCCCTGCTGTGCTTATTCGTGCAAAATGGAAAACTTCGAGAGAAGCTAACATGGTCAACGTGGCCAAGTCTCTAAAACATAAAGTTGAATTTCTAAAAAGTTCCAGTGGGTTTCATGCAATAGGACAATGATGGTGACGGTGATAGGATTTTTTAAGACTTTCTATGTGCCGAGTACTGTTTTAAATTCTTTGCTTGTATTAATCCATTTAATCTTCTCAAGAGTCCTATGAGTCAGGAGCTATTATTAGCTCTATTATACAGATAAGGGAAGTGCTACACAGAATGGGTAAGTCACCTGCCCAAGTTAGTAGGTGGCATAGTCGACATTAGCACAAGGCCGTCTGGCTCGACAGCCTGGATCTTTACCATTACATTGTGTGAAAAGCACACAGAATAATACCTTTTTGCACAAATAGTAAAAGTGTAGTCATGCATAAAGCCACTGTATCTTCTGGGAAGAGGAAGTAAAGGAGGGAAAGATGACGGGATAGACCTTTTATTTCAGTGTCTCTTTTTTAAACAATCTGAGGGGCCTGGGTGGCTCAGTCGTTAAGTGTCTGCCTTCGGCTCAGGTCATGATCCCAGGGTGCTGGGATCGAGCCCCTCTCAGGCTCCCTGCCCAGTGGGAAGCCTGCTTTTCCCTCTCCCACTCCCCCTGCTTGTGTTCCCTCTCTTGCCATCTCTCTTTCTCTGTCAAATAAATAAAATCTTTAAAAAAAAATAACAAACCTGAAACACAGCAAAGTATTAATATCTGCTAATTTGGGTCATGTGTATGTGGGTTGTAAAGTTATTTTCTGTATTTTCCTGTTATGCTTTGAAATATTTAATAACTTTTCATTGAAATTTTTATTGAGGTAATTGTAGATTCGTATGTTGTAAGAAATAATACAAAGACAAGGAAGGAAGAAAGGAAGGAAAGAAAAGAAAACAGAATACAAAGAGGTCTCAGGTACCCTTTACCCAGTTTCGCTCATTGCTGGCATTTTGCAAAACTATAGTACAGTGTCACAACCAGTACGTTGACATTGATACAATCCACCCATCGTATTCAGATTGTCCTAGTTTTACTTGTACTCACTTCTATATGTGCACATATGTGTGTGTGTATTTAGGTCTGTTCGATTTTACACATATGTAGGTTGTAACCACCACCACAGTCAAAATACCCAAACAGTTCTAACTTCACAAGGATCCTCTGTGACCAGTGTATGACTACACCCATGTCCTTAACCATGCATGTGCATGCGCGCGCACACACACAGGCACACACCCCCTAGCCCCTGACAACCACTAATCTCTTCTCCATTTCTGTTCTCTGCTCCGTTACGTCATTTCAAAAATGTTACATAAATGCAATCACAGTATGTAAGATTGAGGGCTTGGCTTCTTTCGTCCTGCATAGCTCCCTTGAGATCCATCCCACGTTGTCGCCTGTCTCGGTAGTTTGTTCCTTGCTATTGCTGTGTCGGATTCCGTGGTGGGATGCACCATGGTTTGGTTAGCTAGTCACCTGGACATTAGAGCTGTTTCCAGTTTGGGGCTGTTATGAACAAAGCTGCTCTGAACATTCGTATACTGGTTTGTGTGTGAATATAGGTTTTCATTTCTTTGGGATAAATGCCCAAGAGTACAATTGGTGGGACATATGGTAACTGCATTCTAGTTTTACAAGAAACTGCCAGACTGTTTGCCAGAGTGGCTGTGCCGATTTCAGAATTTTAAGAAAAGGCTTTTGGCTGACAGAGGGAAGTCAGTCCAGGTCAAGGCAAGAAGCATACAGAGATCTGGAGCTTGAAAGTGCATTCGAGTTGATGGAACTGTCAGGATGTTTCGTGTTGCTAGGACAGACTCTGGATTTAGCTGAAGAGGGAGCATGGGTTCTCTCCTCACTCATTCAGTCAACAAATATTCACTGAGCTCTTACGTGTGCCAGACACCGTCCTAGTCACATGGAGGCATGCCTTCGGAAGTCTGTGTCTAGTAGAAAAGACAGGGTGAAGTAATTACGACGTGTGTTGTGTACAAGGGGGAAGGAGAGCCTTCGGGACAGTACGACGGCATCCGTAGATGGCAGGTTCTTTTCCCGAGGGCAGGGATCATGCCTGTCTTATTCTCCCCTGGGCCCCAGCACATAGTAGGCTGTCAACAAATATATGTTAAATGTCGCACAAATGGCCTCACCCAGTGTACACATTGCCTGTGAGCCTGACCTGTCCACGGCCCTCTGGAAGCTGCTGCATGTCCCAGTCCCGCCATGTGGGTAAAAGGGCAGAGGCGCGGTCCAGACACCCCACCCCGGAGTGAATTACCACACCACAGACTGGAAGCCAGCATGACACAAAAGGTTGGCATGCTCTACTGTAAATTTTTAATTGTTAAGCAAGCAAAGAGGGTTGTAAATTCCGTGCGGCGGGACAGTATTGTATATTGTGCCTGTCGTCGCCGCCCCGGTTCCTTATCAGCCTATTGGGGTTTCTCAGCCTCTCATGCTTCTTGCATGTTAGCGGGGCCCCTTTGCAGGGTCTCTGGGGCATGGCGCAACACCATCCTTTGTCCTGTGGGGGAGGCGGCCAGGCTGTGTGTCCTCTGTCTGACTTCCCCTCTTTCCGTCTTCTGCCTAGATTTTCTCCAAAGGAACATCCAGTGCTCGCCCTGCCAGGGGCTCCGGCCCAGTTCCCCGTCCTGGAGGAACACAGGCCGCTCCAGAAGTACATGGTATGGTCAGACGAGATGGTGAGGACGGGAGAGGCCCACATCCGCACCCACCTCATCCGGCCCTACGTGGGCATTCACCTGCGCATTGGCTCTGACTGGGTAATTTCTCCCTTCCTCTCAGGGCTGGCTTGGACATGTCCCTGATTAGGGCCCATGCCTGTGGATGTTGAACCCTGAACCCACTGCACCGAGTCCCAGCCAGGGCAGAGAGGTCTCACTCAGCCAAATCCACGGGGCTGTGTTCCACGATCCCGCCTTAGACACATGAGAATTGTGACTGCAAAGTGCTTGCTTGCCAGCCCTCGTTTTAACAATAGCCATTTTTGTCCTTATTTTGCAGATGGTTAAATAAACATCAAGCTAGACTCCAAGTCAGGCAGCAAGCCAGAGAGAGACCCAGAGCCCAGGAGTCTTGTGGTCCAGCTAATTGTTTAGCCAGTAGACTCTTTGTTGAAAAACAGGCTCTGGAGATTGGGTGGGGTTCTCAAAACTAAAGATGTCATCCTCCAAATTTGGAGGCTGCTTAAATGTGCAGAAACCTCATCAGATTATCTTCTGTATAAAAATAACAGGAGAAATGTAGACAGTCTCCTTAATTTACATAAGAGAATATATGTATGTATGTATGTTAGAAATGCTCATTGTTGAAGACTTGAAAAATACTGCAAAGTGATGAGGTTTTACAGTGAGGTGTTGTACGTGGGTTTTCTTTTCCTTATGAATTTCTTAGTAACTTTTTCTTGTTTCTAGCTTCCTTTATTGTAAGAATACAGTATGTGATACATATAACATACAAAATGTGTGTTTATCAACTGTTTATGTTATCAGTAAGGCTTTTGGTCTACAGTAGGCTATTAGCAGCTAAGTTTGGGGGAAGTCAAAAATTATATATGGGGTAGGGGATGGCGGCCCCTACGCTCTGTGTCGTTCAAGGGTCAACTATAGTCACACATTGACTCCCTTCCTGCCCTCCTTCCATAAAGAAAAGGAACCAGGCTCAGAATATCCTGTGAGTATTTAAGAAACAGTTTCTATCTATACATGCTTAGAACATAAAAAGACATAAGATGCTATTTTTCACAAAGCTAGCATAACACTAACCCAAACTCGGATAAGGTCAATTCAGAAGAGTAGAGCTATTCTCACAAACATAAATGTACAGATCCTAAGTAGAATATCAGCAAGTAAACTCCAGTAACATATTAAAGAGCATACGACACAAGTAAACCTTATCCCAGGAATGCAATGAAATTCACTATATTAGCACCCAAAGAGGAAAAATCATATAATCATCTCAGTAGAGGCCAAGAAAGCATTTGATAAAAGCCAACACTCAGTCATGATTTAAAAAAAAAATAAAAACCTCTTAACCAACTGGGAATTGAAAGGACCCACCTTAACTTGATAAAGGCTATCTCTCCGGAACCCACAGCAAACATGTACTTCATGGGAGCTACCATGAAGTAGAAGTATTCCCACTGAAGTCAGAAATCAGATAAGGCTGCCCGTTATCACCACCACGGTTCAGAATTCTACTGGAGGTCCCAGATAATACAGTTAAGACTAAGAAAAAAATATTTTGTAAAAAGCCAGTATGCCACTATACAGAAACAGCCACTGTTACTGTCTTGATGCATTTCCCTCTTCCCTCAATACTTTTTTTAAAAACATAGTTGAGCTTCTGTATAGCCTTTTTCCACTTAGTGGCTCTTGCTTCTGGGGCCCCAGCCAGCTGCTGTCTTTAACTATGTCCCCCCACGACCATGCAGAAGAATGCCTGTGCCATGCTGAAGGACGGGACTGCGGGCTCCCACTTCATGGCCTCCCCACAGTGTGTGGGCTACAGCCGCAGCACGGCCGCCCCTCTCACCCTGACTATGTGCCTCCCTGACCTGAAGGAAATCAGACGGGCCGTGAAGCTCTGGGTGGATGCGCTGAATGCCCAGTCAGTCTACATCGCCACGGATTCCGAGAGTTACGTGCCCGAGATCCAAGAGCTCTTCAAAGGGAAGGTGTGTATGGTCCCAGTGGGGGTGTAGGGGGAAGGGAATCCAAGAAAGCTCCAGGGTGGTCCCACCGCTCCCCCTACATGCTTCATGTCCTCCTGACACATGTCCACTTCTTTTTTTTTTTTTTAAGATTTTATTTATTTATTTGACAGAGAGAGCAAGAGAGCACAAGCAGGGGGAACAGTAGAGGGAGAAGGAGAAGCAGGCTCCCCGCCAAGCAGGGAGCCTGATGTGGGGCTCGATCCCAGGACCCTGAGATCATGACCTGAGCCGAAGGCAGACGCTTAACCATCTGAGCCACCCAGGCGCCCCTAGATGTCCACTTCTGCTCCAATTCCTATCCTTCCTTCAAACCCCAGCCCAAACACCTTGGCACATTCTCTCCAGATTTCCCTGCACTCTTGTAGCTTCCTACTGAAACCATCACCGCATTTTACCACATCTGTTCTGGAGGCACTGTCTAGTCTGTGTGAGGCCAGAAACACGGCCCACTTCCCAAGAGTTGTGGCTCCTTAAAGGCAGAGTCCAAGGCTGACTCACTCTTCTGTTCCTCAGCATCTGGGGGCCTTGCCATCACCAATGTCCACGACAGTGCCTAACACAGTAGATGCTTGGTAACCGTCGAATAAGGACATAAAGAGTGGGCCCTTGGGAGAGACCCAGTGTAGCAGAGAGATTAAGGGCCTGGACCCTGGAGCCGGAGAATGTGAGCACTGCTCACTGTGCTGTCTGCACAAGGTACTGTAGCTCTCTGTGCTTCTGTTTCCTCTTCTGTAAAGTGGGACTGAGAGCAGTCCTATCTCATTGGGCGGTAGTGCAGGTCAGATTGAAGCAACAAACAGTTCCAGGACAAAACAAGTGCTCAGTAGTGTTAGCAGTCACCAGTAGTAGGAGTAGGTGATTGATGAATAAAGGGAAGTCTCTTTTGTGCTTAGTAAGTGGTGAATGGTAAATATTCAGTGTGTGAATAAAGAGCGGATGTGTTTGGTACTCTATCAGTGGAGAGTAGGTAATAAGTAAGTGTGTATCGATAAAATGACTGAAGTAATGGTAAGCATTCAGTAAGATTCGTGGATGAATGAAAGCCCTAAATGCTTGCACAGACCTTAAAAGGTTGGCTTTCTAGCAGTGAGAACCCTTGGCTTTATGGGAGGGGCTCCGTTCTCCCTTTTACCCCAGACATGGGCTGGAAGCCCTGACTTGTAGAGAAGGTGCTGAAGCCGAGCATCCTGGCCTCCCTCCCACCCGCCCACGCTATAGAAGACCATCAGAGTCGGGAGCCCTCAGGACTCCTCTAATGCAACCCCTGTATTTTATAGCTGAGGAAACCAAGAAGGGATAGAATTTACCCAAGAGGTCTCAGAGCTAATTATAGTGGGCATGACACAGAGCGGGTAAGTTTCAGAGCGTGGGTGGAATTGCTCGGGGATTTTGGCCATGATTAAACCAGTAGTATTTCTTTGCTACCATCCACAGAGCAAGATGATGATTTTTGTTACATCAGAAATCTCTGTGTGACAGCAAAGCACTTTCAGCCCCAGCTCTGCCCACACCCCCACCTCTGTACTAAATTGAAGCATTTGGAGAGTCCCAGGGAGTTTTTTTGTGAGTTTTTAGAGTTGATATATTTGTTACACCTTGAGCCTCTTGCCATTTTCTATTTCCTGTTCCTGTGCCACTGTTCTTGCCCTTCCCCACTCCTCAGCCCCTTTCTCCATGGGCTCAGAGCCCACCCTTGCTCCTCATTTAAGCTGGGGCCCTGCTGAGCTGGGGATACTGATAAATAAGATGTGGTCTTGCCCTGTAAAGCTCCCAGTCTAGACTCAGGAAAAGAGACTTTGCACAGAACTCTAATATATGCTGCGTGAGAGGTCCAGGAGCTCGAGTAGGGGCAGGAGCTCACTCATTCACTTGTCCAGTCAATAGATGTTTATTGAGGCAGGCTCCAGCCAGCAGTGACCAGAAGGCTGCCACAGCCCTGACCCCATCAGGTGCAGGAGACAGATATTAATCAGAGTAGAAACTACAAACTGAGATGTGTGCTGCAAAGTAAAGGTATGTGGTTTGGGAGAATGTAGAGCAGAGGACTCTGGCCTAGATCGGGGTCCACAGAGGTGAGACTGGAGCTGCAGAGTGAGGGTTAAGTAAGAATTAACCAGACAAAAAGATGAGCACCCTGAACAGAGGGAGAGTGCATGCAAAAGTCCTGAGGCAGGAGGGAGCCTGGTGGGTAGTGGCTGGAGCTCAAGGGGAGATGGGGAGAATATAAGAAGAGGTGGAGAAGTGACTTGAACAGGGCTTTGTAGGCCCCATTCAAGATTTGTCGTCTTCATCTGCAGAGCAGTAGGGCACCATTTAAGAGTGTTCAGCTTAGGGCGCCTGGATGGCTCAGTTGGTTGAGTGTCTGCCTTCGGCTCAGGTCATGATCCCAGGGTCCTGAGATCGAGCCCCGCATCGGGCTCCCTGCTCAGCGGGGAGCCTGCTTCCCCCTCTCCCTCTGCCTCTCTGCAGCCGCTGGGTAATACTGCTGCCAGAATGCCCGACCCCACGTCCTAGTCCTCTCTGCCCCACCTTCTGTATCTGTCACTTCCGCACGAGGGAAGAGAGCTGAGGGTATGGCTGCAGGCCTTGGCCGAACTGGTCACCACCCTGGTGAAAACATTCTTCCCTTCCTCCTGCAGGTGAAGGTGGTGAGCCTGAAGCCCGAAGTGGCCCAGATCGACCTGTACATCCTTGGCCAAGCTGACCACTTTATTGGCAACTGTGTCTCCTCCTTCACTGCCTTCGTGAAGCGGGAACGGGACCTCCAGGGGAGGCCGTCCTCTTTCTTTGGCATGGACAAGCCCCCTCAGCTGCGGGATGAGTTCTGATCCTGGCCGGAGCACATCACCAGTCTGAGCTGGTTGCACGTGCCAGGCCTGGCAGCCAGCAGTGCTCCCAGCATGGATTCCCAAGAGTACAAGCTTCTCTGCTCCCCCGCCAGAGACAGAAAAGCACCAGGGACTTCTGGAGGAGAAGGACTCCATCTCCCAGGGCACAGGGCTTTCAGGCTCCTGAAGCCGGAGCATCTCTGCTCCCTTTGTGCCTCCTGCTGTTTCTCCTGGGAATTTCGCACACTGGCAAAGCAGTCCAACCTCTGTCTTTTGGTCTGCCCTGCTCTGAGCAGCCTGGGGGGCTAATCTCTTCAGCGACTTTTTTATAGAGAGAGAAACAGAGATTCTTAAAGTTTTGATATGAGATCATGATTAACCAAGAACTCTCCCTCATTTTTAAAAATCAGTGAAGTTCATTAACGTAAATACCTAAAGTGACCTTGAATGAGGATGAGGCCAGGGGTGGAGTGGTTGTATTGACCCTTTTTCCAGACGACCCAAAGTAGCCCTCAGAACAGGCCGGAGACATCCCCACTGCCTGGCCAGAGCCATTGTCAGCCCGTCTTCCGAGGCCATTTCCAGGGTTTGGGGCATGAGCACTCATCTCTATTATAAACACTGTGCAAATGGAAGTTATTGATCAGGATGCTGTGCAGTGCTCTGCAGACACTGAGTGCTGCTCACAAAGCACGTTCCAAGCAAGGGGCAAGTGCCATCAAGCCAGACCATCATGGTATTGCTGTCAGAGTCTCCTAGTGGTTGGTGGCCTGCCACAAACCTGGCTCCATCGAGATCTTGGAGCACCAGGGCTGGATGGCCCGGTGGCATCCTTCTGAAGGCTGCCCTCTCCCCTTTCATCTGTTTCCCAAGGGGCCTGGTTATAGAATTTTGCCATTAAGTTGCTATCCAAGGCCTGTCCCTCAAGCCTCCCTCCTGGGGCTGGAGCCCTCAGGCCATATTCTCACCAGGGCATGTTTGCTAAGCCTCTGACTGGATGAGATGCCCCTGACCCAGAAGCCATCAGATTCCCAATCTGCCCCTTCCCGTCCAGTGGAATCTCTGCCAGCCCCATGAGGCTAAAAAGTCGTGAGTTTGTCTCTCAGATGCTAGAGTTGTGATTATCCATGACTCCTAAGAGTCTGTGGTGTTTTGGCCTTGTGGTTCTAAAATTCATGTCTAACACCTGCTGGTCTCTTCCCCACCATGTGACTTCCTTTGGCCTTCAATCCTGGGAAGGTAAAGGAAACTGATGAGAGCCAGGCCCAAAGCTCCATGCAGGGCCTCCCCCTCAGATTACCTTTGGGAAGAAACACTGTCTCTGTCGAGGCAGACTGTGCCAGAGGTGGCAGAGCGACAAGGATCTCAAACACTAAAGGTGGCATTTGCTGCTCAGAGCTGTCGCCCAACTTGAAGCAGAGAAACTAGAGAAAGGGCTTTTGTGTTTTCCCTCTTGGGAAAACAGTAAAATATTCTAAATCCTGGGTGGACTCTCAGAGATGGCTCGTCTGTCTGGACTTGTTCACAAGCTTCATTCAGAGGTATGGGAGCCTGAGCACCCCTGCCTCCGTGGTGTCATTGGGAAGGTGTGGCTCATTGACTGATTTTGTTGGCTGAATTCATTTGCTGATCACAGCCTCAAACTAGGCACATGCTTTAGAGTCTGGGGCTCTAACGGGCCATCCAGACCACTTTGATTAGCATTGGCAGTGATAACAGCTGTGTTTCTGGACAAGAGGGTGCCGGGTTGTAGTCAGATTCAGTTGTGTTCCATAGGCAAGCATTTTGCTCCTCTTTGACCCAGTTGCCTCGCCTATAAAAATGATGATAAAACAGTGTTGTTGAAAGGCTCCCATCAGATAAAACAGGCATAAGAGCACTTTGTAAACTGAAAAGAGCCAAAGGCACGTATATATATGGCTGTTGATTAATTTGATGGCCTCTTGTTGCACACCCACTCTGTGCCAGGCACTGTGCTTATTAAGTGCTTTATGGGACTTGAGACCTGATTCCAGCCCTGGGGAGTAGGAGCTGTTAATATCCTTCTCCTTCTGCACAGGGAAAAACTAACGCTCAGAAAATTCTCATCATGTTCTCAAGGCCACATAACTGGTGGTGTTAAGCCAGCACCTGCCCTCCCAAAGCCATTACCGTTAGCCACATACCCTACTGCCACCACTTCACAGGATGCACTTTACACAGGGTGTGTGTGTAGGCCTCGGGTGGGAGACCCGTCATCCACTTTAGTTCCCCCACTGGGCTCCTGCTGTGTATGGGTCTGTCACTGCCAGGAGGTTTGGGGGAAGGAGAGATCACCCAGGAAAGAAAGCCCACATGAAGCTTACAGTTCTTTTGAGTGTTTAGCCCACCATTCTTTCATTCAAATCACCTGCTGTGTGCCAGGCACTGTGCTAGGTACGAGGATTCAGCAGAGAATCAGACAGAAAGCCTTTGTTCTCAAGGGATTTGCATTGTATTAAGTATAGGACGCAAGGAACAAATTTTATCAGGGAGGGTGTTGACTGCTATGAAGAAAAATAAAGGGTATGGGGGAGTTGAGAGAGGGAGCAGTGCTGTTTTGGATGAGGAGTTCAGGTAAGCCCTCTCTGAAGAGCCACCAGGAGGAAGGAGGGGACCACTCATTCAGATACCTGGAGGCAGCACATTCCAGGCAGAGGAAACAGCAGGTGCAAAGGTCCTGAAGCTGGAGTGAGTGAGTGAAGCATGGCAAGGAAGTCAGCTTGGTTGGAGGAGCCAGAGCAAGGCAGGAAACAGAGCAGTCAAGGTCCTATATCCTGGAGGGCAGTGGTGGTAAAGCCAAGACTTTGGAGAAATGGGAAGCCTTTGCAGGATTCTGAATGGAGGAGGGTCATGATCTGTTTATAGTTTGAAGGACCCCCCCTAGCTGCCACATGGAAAAAAGATGGGAGGGGTAGAAGGAGGGAGACCAGTGCAGGGCTGATGCAGGGATGCAGGCCAGATGGTGGGGCTCAGGCAAAGGTCGTTGCGTTGAAGGTAGTGGGAAGTGGGCAGATTCTGGATATATAAAATTATTTTTAAAGTTCAATCTTTTTTATTTTTTTAAGATTTTATTTTTAAGTAATCTCTACACCCAACGTGGGGTTCAAACTACAACCCCAAGATCAAGAGTCGGATGTTCTGACTCAGCCAGCCAGGCACCCCATTAAATTTCAATCTTTTTTAAAGATAGGAGTCTTTGTATAGTTTTAATCATGCAACATATACAATTTAATGTCTTGTTTTTCACTTAATAGTATATCACATTTTCCATGTTGGTACATGGCCTGAATAAATGTTTTTAATGACAAAATTGCATTAAGGAGTGTCCCACAGTTTATTGTCCTATTAGGAGAACTTAGTATGTTCCCAATTATTCACTATTATTGTTTGAATAATATTTTTATTTGCACTTTTTTTTCTGTATCTAAAATGTTCATTAGGATAAATTCCCAGAAATGGATTTTAGATCAAAGACTTAAAGATAAAAATTTTTATTATGGAAAAACTCAAATCTACATAAAATTTGTGAGTAATAAAGTGAACTCCCAATTTCAACAATCCTCAGCATTTTACCAGTCTTGTTTCATTTACCATTCCATCCCCAAGTCCATGTACTAGAGTCTTTTAAAGAAAATTTGAATATGTTTTGAAAGAAAAGCCAATAGAATTTGCTGACCCACTGAATGGAGGCTAGGAGGGAAACAGGGAAGTCCAGGATGCTCTAAGGTTTAGGGCCCAAGCAGTGGGAAGTTGTCCCTGATTTGCAGACTGACTTTGAAGGTGAGGCCACCTCCCTCCAAGTTCCAGGTGCTAATGGTGGTCCAAACAGCGTCAGAGGTGGTCTCCAGATGTTCCTTGGAGAGCTGGTTGACAAGGCAGAGTCCAGGGACCCACCCTCCTGAAGAATCAGAACATTTTGTGGGTAGGGCCCAGGTATCTGCATCTTTTTTTTTTTTTTTAAGATTTTATTTGAGGGGCGCCTGGGTGGCTCAGATGGTTAAGCGTCTGCCTTCGGCTCAGGTCATGATCCCAGGGTCCTGGGATCGAGTCCCGCATCGGGCTCCCTGCTCCTTGGGAGCCTGCTTCTCCCTCTGCCTCTCTCTCTCTCGTTCCCAGTCTCTCATGAATAAATAAATAAAATCTTTAAAAAAAAAAGATTTTATTTGAGAGAGAGAGCAAGCAGGGGGAGGAGCAGAGGAAGAGGGACAAGCAGACTCTGTGCCGAGCCCGGAGCCTGATGTGGGGCTCGATCTTACAACCCTGAGGTCACGACCTGAGCGGAAATCAGGAGTCAGACAACTAACTGAGCCCCCCAGGCACCCCCAGGTATCTGCATTTTAAGAAGCACCTACAAGTGATTTTGATGCCCAGTGGCCCAAGACCTACTTATCTTGTAGGAGTAGGACCAGCAGTAGGACTCCTCAGACCAGCAGCATCAACATCACCTGGGGCAGCTTGTTAGAAAGGCAGACTCCCAGGCCCCACCCCAGGCCTGCTGAGTCAGAAACCCTGGGATGTGGCCCAGGAATATTTTAACAGTCTCTCTAGGAGCTAAAGTTTGTGCAACACTATGCACTGTGATCAGCCAGCAAGCATTCAGGGAGGGCCTTCTCTGCAGGTCCTGCCCCGGCAAGCCTTGAAGGTTCCTCCAACCGTAGTCAGTGGGGTAGCTTGAGGTACCTGGTAGTGTTCAGTTTGGTTTGTAACTTTTTTTTTTCTCTTACTGTGCGTTGGGGGGAATGTAGAACTAGACAGAATTTGATTTAATGGATTTCACTGTTTTAGGATGGGACCGATTTTATATAAGTAAAACAATGGGAATTACATTTTTAAAAAATGAAGTAACTACCAGTAGAGGTGGGTTATATATTAGGCAGAAATGGAGAAGCTGGTATTCAAAGGAACCAAAGCTGGGAAACGCTATCCTGATACATCATAGATCCTTCAGAACCACGCATCGGAGGGGAGAGGAGGGGGGGAAAGAAAAAAAAAAAAGGAGAGAAGAGATGGAGGAAAGAAGAAGTGAGCTCTCATTTCTGTGTTCTGATCACTTCAAAAAAGCTTAGTGAATAGTAAGATTTCCCTGGCCCGAAATCAAGGTCCCTTTTCCTCCTCTGTTTTCTCTCTTTCATTAGTGGAGTTGACAGAAAACAAAACAAAAACAAAAAACCATAGCCTGAAGGCAAATCCTGCACTCTGGATCATGTTGTCAGAATTAATTCAAATTATTACTTGAAACCTGGTTTATTTCAGGGTTGAGACGTTTACCCTGAAATAACATTATTTAAGGACAAGCAGGTTTGGTTTGTTTTTACATCTAATCCTTTACTGATC